GCCCAGTGGGTTGCCAGCCTGCCGAGGGGAAACCTGTCACCAGAGAGAGGCAGGGCCTCGTCCACTGTCACGCAGAGACGTTCCAAGGCCAGAATCGTAGCTGCTCCGAACCTGTGGGTTCTCCCTATGACTCAGGGCCCCGGTGCCTGCCCCTGCGTGCCCCGTCCCAGGCCCCTCTGGAGAAAGGGCTTGTAGGGCTGCCCAGGCCCCAATCTATTCGGTTTGCAATTATCTGGCCAGGAAGCCCAGAACCTGCTGTGAGCAAGTTTCGGCAGACAAACCCATGTCTCTGCCTAGAGATCGCTGCTCCTGATAATTCCCCAGGAAACCCTGCAACCTCACCTCCTCCTTGGAGCCCCCTTACCTGCTTTGCTTGGAGTCCCTGAGCAGCCGTGACTCAGGCCTGACAGGCCTCTTGTACCTATGGCCGGAGTCCTCTCTGCACCTTCCTAGGGAGGATTAGGGAAGGGTCGTCAGGGCCTGCTTGTACCTCCAGGGGGCGGGGAGCTCACCACCTCCCAAGGGTCCCCGTTGCCCTGACCATGGAGGGTCCTGCTTTCAGGTGACTCCCTCCCCACCTGTCCCTGTTGTTCCAGGACAGCCCTTTGGAATTCCAAGACAGGGCCTGTCCGTCCCTGAATCTTCCCATTTCCCTGTGAACGGGACTTTCACTTCATCCAAAGATGAATGAATTCCAAAGTGAATGCTTCCAAGTTCCCATTATTCATCCAACAATTTTTGATCTGACCAGTAGCGCCTGGCCTCCTACTATTGGGCCTCTGGCGAGCATAGCACATAGTGTGCTGCCTCGTGGGGCCTATGCTCTCCTGACACAGACAGACCATGGGGGATTTTAAAATACGAATGAAAAAATGATGTTGTGATCATTATGATTATATTCTAAGAAAGAAACAATGTCCTGGTGTGTAGGAAATGGTGAGGGGGACCCCACGGTATGTCCTGCGGCTCAGAGGCCTCTGATAAAGGGGACCTTGCGGCTGCGGTCAGAAGGATAAAGAAGAGCTGCTCTGAGAAGAGCTGACCTTGTGTAGCCTCAGGCCTCTGCTCTCCTCTCTTGCAGCCCCCAAAAGAGAAATTTCTGGTTCTGGGTCCAGCCCTTACCAGCCGGGCGAATGTGCACACGGCTTGGACATCTTGGAGGCTCCGTGTCCTCCTCCTATATTTATGTGCCCAGTTATGCCTACTCAGAGGGCTGCTAGAAGGAACCTACGAGATAGTTTAAATTCCCTGCTGTGACCAGAATCACCCACCTCCCCGGTTTGGAGAGATTATTCACAAGTTTCTTAATTTTCTGGCTAATTGCTCAAATTCCTGCTTGTACAACTTAGCAGGAGTCTTGTATCTCCTGATTGAAGCCTTTGCTTGCCCTTCTCTGTCCAAATGAACCCACAAATTGTCCCTGTCCAAAGAGGGGACTCCTGAGACACCTGGGTGGCTCAGTGGTTGAGCGTCTGTCTTTGGCCCAGGGGTCCTGGGATCAAATCTCGCATCAGGCTCCCTGCAAGGAGCCTGCTTCTCCCTCTGCCTGTGTCTCTGCATCTCTCTGTGGCTCTCATGAATAAATAAAAACAAAATCTACCCCCCCCCCCCGAAATCAACCAACCAAACAAAAAACAATCAAAAAGAGGGAACTTCTGCTTCCAAGGCCAGGGAGAAGCCAGTTCCCATCAGGCCGCTGGTGTTATGGCTTCGGTGGCTACCACCTGGGGCCGCTGTCAAAGATGCGTCCTGCCAGCCTCATGGACCCATGTCCCCCTTGTGATGGAGCCTGTGATTCTGTGATCACCACAGACTGGCCCCAGGGTTGTAGCTTTCTTAGGCTCACATCCACACGCTCAGCCGTTGGCCCCAAAGCAAGCCACCTGCCAGGTGAGGAAGGGCTTCTAGCCTCGGCCTCATGGGAACCCAGCACCAGCCGTCCTACCAGTCCCCCACACCCTGTGGCGACCAGGTCATCATTTCAGGCGCTCCCCTTACTCATGGAGAGTGGGGCTGGTCCTGGGGGTCTTTCCTGGGCCGTGGGTTATCCCCATCTTTTGGATGTAACACTGAACGCGGAGGATTCCTGGGCTCTATGCGGACTTGCCCACCAGCGTCTCTGACACCAGATCCGCAAGGGGATCTGGAGCGGGAGATCCCTTTGTCAGGCCCCAGGGAGCCCTGCCCCACCCTCTCCAGGACGCGCCCGGACACCCCCACCCCTGGCTCTGTGTTTGAAGAGCTTCCTCTACCCTGGCCGGCGACACTTGCCTGTTCAAGGGGCACGTGTGTGTGTACTTCCACAGACAACTAGGGGCACAACCCGAGGGAACTGCCTCTTCCCAGGTGCCCTGGTACCGACGCATCCCCCCCACTTCATCCTCCCAAACCAGCCGGTGCAGAAGGTGCTGCTGTGAGGATCGAAGGGAACGGTGTATGGTTTGGGCCAAGAAGAGAGTGGCTGCCTAAGGAAGGACAGGTGCTGTTATTACAGGTGCTGAGTCCAGTCTGGGTTTCCCTTCAGCAATGAAAACACATCTTAGGCCCCTCCCTCACTTAAAGATTGCTTGGGACCTGCCTTCTGGACCCAGTGCAGCCCTCTCCACGGCATGAGGAAAGAGCTGCCTCAGCACCTCCCTGAGCCGAGGTTCAGAGGCCCTGGCCCCTGCCCCCTGCCCAGTGCTCGCCTGGACCTTTCCAGATGGACCAGCCAGGTCTTCTGCAGCATCAGGGAGAAGGAAGGGCAGCAGGGAAGGTGCACCTAGGGGGAGAAGCAGGCGTTCCATCTGGCAGGCAGGTGGGCTGCCAGATTGCCGAGCCCAGCAGAGGAAGGGGGAGAGGAGGTACCTTGCCGACCTGGCATTAAGGTCCCCATCTCTGCAAGGTCCAGGCGGTGTCCAGGGCACACCGAGCCACAGCCCCGCCTCTCAGATGGACGGCAAGTGAAGGCCATGCTGTACCTTCCAGCCATGGCGTCAGCGGCGGGCAGGGCTACTCCCCCCTTAACTATAGGGGGCTCACCCATGAACACATGGGCTCCTGATAACTAGTCCGATGTTGGCATGGACAGCCCTGCACATGCTCCTTTAAGAACCCCAAATCTGAGCTCCTTGCATCCAGGTGGGGAACCTCTGAATCCAGGGGGTAGGTGAGCAAAGTCCTCTTGGGTCTCTGAAAGGCGTCCTGAGCAGCCGTAGAGACAAAACAAGTGCTTCCTGTGTGTTCTAGCAGAGCTGGGCCACCCCTGTGGGCTGCAGGGCCCTCTCCTCCCAAATGACCTTTGAACTCCCTTCCAGATCTGACATCGGATGACATCGATGTATAGTAATAATAACAGCCAAGCTTTTTTTTTTAATATGTGGTTTTCTTTCTTTCTTTTTTTTAAGATTCTATTTATTTATTCATGAGAGACACACACAGAGAGAGAGAGAGAGAGGCAGAGACACAGGCAGAGGGAGAAGCAGGCTCCAAGCAGGGAGCCCAGCGTGGGACTTGATCCTGGGTCTCCAGGATAATGTCCTGGGCTGAAGGCAGGTGCTAAACCACTGAGCCACCCCGGCTGCCCAACAGCCAAGCTTTTGAGTACTTATCTAATTAAATCATCCTGAGCTGGTACTAACATCATCCCTCCTTTACAGATAAAGAAACTGAACCTTAGAGTAAGTAAATAGCCCAAGGTCACTCACGGGTTAGGGGCAAAGCCTGGATTCAAACCCGGGACTCTCCGAGTGCAGAGGTCGACACACTTAACCCATCTGCTAAGCCATCTAGGTCTGCCTTTTGGGTAGTGTCACATTATCTAGCCAGTGCTCCTTTATCACTGGTCTTTTGCTGATGAGGGTTGCCCCATCCCTGGTTCTTGTTTTGTGCTTTGTGGCTTTAAGAAACCTTTTGTTTTTTTCTCTTCCTGCTGTAGTTTCTGAAGAAACTGGCCAAGCTGGCTCAGAACCGCCAGCCAAAAGAACTCCACGTAAGTCAAGCAGGCTCTTGCCTAAGAAAGCAGATGTGTGTGTGGAGGGGAGGGCCCACGGAGTAATTAGGGCGATATCTCCAAGGGGGAAGCATGCCTTCTTCTTGGGGGAAGATGGTGGGCCCATCTGTCAACAAGGCCGCCTTGACTCTTCTCTCTGGGCTGGGCACCGTGGGGGGTACAGGATGTCAGGAGCTCAGCGAGCCCTCCCAGGTCTGAATGCTCTGACATGAAGACACCCCAGCTCTTCTTCCCCCCTGCCTCGCTCCCCCTCCTCCTCCACGCCCTGGAGCTCAAATTGTGTTAGGAGAGATAAGATTTATACACACCAAAGTGAAGTAATAATAAGATGGTTTGTGCCAAGTGTGTGGTCTATCTACTCATTAATAAGCATTTATTGAGTCTTCTTGGGACCAGGCACTGGGCCGAGCAAGGAGGATACATAGAAGAAAGGGACCCAGCCTCCCTTCTTAGCACAGCACCAGTGGGGAGGACAGGGTCCTTAACCACCCATGGCCACAACAGAGGCAAGAAGCGCAGGGCCTCATGGTAGCACACAGTAGGTGCCAAGCTAAATCCTTGGGCTCAACCTTTCCTGTTGAGTTCCTAATAGGGACCAGTTCCTATTACTGGTCCCATTTCATGGGTGAGAGAACAGAGGCTTAGCAAAGGTCAGCAATTTGTCCAAGGTCCTGAAGCTTGTAAGAGAAGGAGGCAGGACATGAGTCCAGGAAGCGTGGCTTGAAGGGCCAGGTCTCCTTGTGCTGGACTCCAGGCTGCTGGGCCCCGTGCATGGGGGAGAGCTGAGAGTGAAGCCCGGGCTGGATCGTGAGGGGCCCCGAGTGCCTCATGGTTTCATCCCGGAGTGAGTGAGGGACACCTCCCAAGCCAGAGGGCCATGGGCTGTGTGGTCAGGGAACAAAAGCATCCTGGGGATGGAAAGCGTCACTGGGGATGGTGGGCTTGAGCTGGCCATTGTGGGACCTGGGGGAAATAGTGGGAGCAAGGCGAGGAGGGGAAGAGAAGGCTCCCCGGCATGGGTGGGGAAGGTACCTGTGCAGGGTTAAGGACAGTGAGCATTGGGAAGGCGAGTCCTTGAATTCCAGACTCGCATTTATCTCTGGGGTCATCAGCGCTGACTGTGTAGACAGGGATGGCCCAGGCAGGTGGGGCTCCGGGATGCTCTGTGCCAGGCACAGTGTGGCTGTAGGATGAGCAAGACATACATGGCCCCTGGCCTCATGGAATTTTCAGGGCAGGAGCCGAGACAGACATGAATCAAGCAACCACAGGCACCTATGGGTGAGTGCAAACAACCTGGCGGCGGATGAACCCCAGGGGCCCCGGGCGGGATTGTGGGCTGGTGGGAAATGTGAGAAGCAGCCCTTGGCCTGATCTCTTGGGGATGGGTCAACGGGAGACGGAAAAGCATTCTGGGAAGAGAAGACAGCAAGGGCAAAGCCTCGGAGGGAAGGAGAAGTGTGGTGAATTGAAGGAAAGCAAAAGGGCCAGGGAGGCTGGTGCTCAGAGAGCTGGGGGGTGGACGGCCCAGGGTGCCACATCTTCGGGGGTGTCACTGGAGAACAGTTGGGAGATGGTGATCAATGTTAAGCAGGCAAATGACACAAACAGATGTGTGTTCTAGAAGGATCCCTCTGGCTGCTGTAAGGAAAGCGCCTCACCGGGGCAGAGGTGGGGAGCCCTGGGTTTAGGTGGCAGTAACTGGATCAGGAGCTCTGGATAAAGTGCACAGGCATTTGGAAGGTGGACTCTACAAGGCCTGGTGACCGTGTGTGGGGTGAGCCAGGGAAGGGTCAGGGACTCCCGGGTCTTCTGCTTGAACAACAGGGTGGGCAATGGGGCTGTTTATGGTCATGGGGTCTTGGGAGGGGAGGCAGGTTTGAGGGATGGAGTCATGAGATGGTTCTGAGGTGCGAGGTTCGAGTTGCCCTGGGGTTGCCCAGTGGAGGCATTTGGGTGCCCAGGCCCAGAGCTCAGGTGACAGGTGCGGGCTGGGATGTGGTCCTGGGACTCATTGACTAGAGCTGGCAGTTCAATCCATGGGAGCACCAAGGGAGAGAGCTCAGAAAGAAGAGGGGCCTCAAGACAGAACAGCAATGCTTGGGATGAGGAGGCACCGACAAAGGGATTGAGAAGTTGTTGGCAGAGCAGAGGGGGGTGAGGGGAGAGAAGGGCGACAGCCAGCCCCCAGCAGTGCGTGGTTGGCTGGGGCACTGGTGTGGGAAGGTCAGGCAGGTGGAGGACCACACAGAGCCTGCTGGGTTTGGGGAACGGAGTCACCGGTGCCTTGAGCAGAAGCAGTCTGTGTGGAGGGTAGAGGGGCGAGGGGCAGCCCCATGGGGTGGGGAGCAGGGGTGGAGCCAAGAAGCGGTGCCCCGGAGATAGCAGGTCACCACCAGGACAGGGGCCGCAGCAGAAGAGGGCAGAAGAAGGTTGGCTTTGTCTGCTTGGTGGTTGGTTTTTAGGATGGGAGGAGCTGGGGAGGTTTGAGGGCTGGGGGGAGGAAGGCTCTGGTTTCCTTCACAGAGTAGACCCTCGAGGCTAAGAACGGCAACAACAGCATCCAGAAGGGCCCTGGGAGAAATGGAATTAGGTTTTAGCTGAGTCGCAAAAAGGCAAGCCAGCAATTGCCCTATGGCTCTGCCAGGGAAGGTCAGAGAAAGGCCTCCCCGGGGACGGAGAGGGGAAGGAAGTGAGGGGGAGAAAAAGCAGCTGGAGAAGTGAGCTTTGCCCGGGAAGGGGGGGGCATTCTCTAGAGGCACCCACGAGCACTAAACTGGGGAAAGTTAAAAGTGTGGACAAGTAATAAAGATCCTTATATGCGGCTGAGGCTTTCTCCGGGTACTTTGAGATCATGTTTAAGGTTCAGTGTTTGAACTCGACTCGTAGCAGCAGCAGCTTGTAGCGGAAGGGTTCCGGCTGGGGAAACAGGGCCTGGCTTCCCGTCCAGCCCTGCCACCGACTGGCTGTGGGGCCCCGGGACTCGGTCTCCCATATTTAAGTCGAGCTGGTGGTGCCTCTGATATTTTCACGTGGAGGGCTTTGAGGGCCTCGCTACCTGCGGGTGGCTTGGTGCTCGATACGTTTAGGGCATCAAATGCTAACGGCACTGATCGTGGGAGTCTTGGCTGAGGTGTATTTCATCTGTGGGATCGGCACTGCTGAGGGCTCTGGAGCCTGTGGAGGGATCATTGTGCCCATTTTATGGATGAGAAAACCGAAGCTCACTTGTCCCGGGTCGTACGTCTCGAAAGTGGTGGGGTTGGAATTCCCCTCTGCCACGGCTCCTCTGACGTGGGAGCAAGCACACAGGCCGCTTGTTCTTCCGAGGAAAGCACGCCCACGAGCTGGGGTCCCCCCTTCGGCCATAAGGCCGTGCAAGGGGCAAGGGCCAAACGAGGCCTAATAGGCCAGATCTGGAATTGGGGTGAGCAGGCCACGTGGAGGCAGCATCCCAAGACTGAGGGTCATTGTTGGGGCGCAGGGGGCGGTAGTGGGGACCGAGGCCAGAGACCTGATCATGGAGATGCTGAGGCCAAGTCAAGGGTCCGAGCTGGAGCCTGTAGACATGGGGAGCCATGGAAGGAGCAGGATCCACACGAGACAGGTGGGGACGAAGCTGGGGTCCAGCAGGGAAGGAGGGCGAGCAATAATCCCGAGGGGACTTGCGGGATCTGAGTGGGGAGAGAGCAGAAGAGCTGGCCGCTCGGGGCCCAGGGCTGGCGGCCCACTCCCGGGAGGGGTGGGGAGTCTGAGCCCAGTGCTGAGGTGGTTGCAACACGTCTGAGGGTGTTTTCTCTGTGGGATTTTGTTGTCTGTGTATAAACCGATCTCCCGCCTTTGGCTGCAGCTGGGCGTTTGCGAAAGCCCTAACCCGCAGCTGGCCTGGCCTCACTGCGCCCCTCGTCCCGCTGCCCTCGGGTGCCCTGATGGGTCACCGGCCTCCCCTCCGCGTGTTGCTGAGCCTCGGCTCTGAGGCCCTGCGGTCCCTGCCCCACGTCGGGGCCTGGGTTCAGCCTCCGGGCACCTCCCGTGCGCCCCCCACGTTACAGCACTGCCGGCCCGGCCACCGCCCTCACCCACCCCGCAGTCAGAGCATCACTGGGGCCCGCCCCGCGCCCCACCCTTCTACTGCTTTTCTTCCCAAGCACTTTACCTCTGTTACGGGACCTCCTCCTCCAGCTGAGCCGGGTCTCCGGGTGGTTGGAAAGCGGGAAACGGGCCCAGAGCTCCTGCGGCCACCACTCGGGGCCGAGGGACCCTGCAGCATCCGGCTGGACAGAGGCCTGAGCCGCCGTCGTCCTTGACCTCGAGCACACCCCTCCCCTCGTCGGGCTGGCAGGGGTCAGGGCAGGCCGGTGCGGCCCACACCCCCTCAACTCTGAGAGCCTCTCCTGGGGTGCACAGCCCTGGCCCCCCGCGTGGCCAGCCTGTGCTGGGGCTGGGGCCACCGTGGCAGGCGTCCTCGGGGCCGGTGTGGCCGGTCCCCAGGCCCCAACAGGCAGCGTCCAAAAGGCCACGCGGGCTAGCGAGGGGCCTTGCGTCTATGGCAGGCCCACGTCCCACCCCCCATCACCCCACCTGGGGTTTGCTCTCTCGCGGGCTCCTGACCCTTCCTGCTGTCCTCATGCACATCGCTCGGCTTGCCCTCCTCTGCTGCCTCTTCTCAGAGGCTCAGGATCTCCTCTGAGGGCGGCCGAGGCACTGTCCATGACCCAGGGTGTGGAAGGAGCCAGAACACCTCTCTGAGGTAAGCCCCAGGCCACGAGCCGTGGGCTGTGCTGGTGGACCGGCGCAGGGCCCCCGGCTCACCCCTGCTGACCTTGCCCACGGGCCTCCCGTCCTCCGGGGTGTGTCCTCAGCACCCTCAGGCCCAGACCCACGTTGTGCCCCCAGCCCAGCCTGTGACAAGGACAGGCCGGCAGTGCCCCAGGTTAGGGGTGCACAGGATTCCCTGCTTCAGAGACCAGAGGAGTGGGAAATATCTTCAGCACCTTTCCCCCATTTGATAGGACAAAACTGAGGCCTAGAGAGGCCAGGGCCATGTTCTGAATGATTCACCCGCGGTTTCTGGGTCAGTTGGGGGCAGCGTGGGGGGCTGTGCTCCCAGACCACTGGGTCGAACCCCAGTTCCCTGCTCCTCAGCTGTGGGGCTTTGAAGGGTTGGCTTCCTTCCTTTCTTGCGGAACAGAGCTACCCTTTCCTCCCCTGGGGTGGCTGTGGACAGGCCTGCACACCACGAGGGCCTGCACCGCCACTGGCTGTGTGTCCTCAGCAAGTCCCTCATCCTCTGAACTTCGAGGCCTTGTCCAGGGGTGAGGCAGGCAGCACCCTCATCACAGGGTTGGGGTGGGGGTTAGGGTGTGTACCAGAGCTGCCTGGTTTCTAACGTGAGCAGGGCTCTGCCGCGGGCCCTCAGTTGGCTTCCAATTACCCGCCATATTGCAAGCACGGTTGCCTGAGTATCTCTTGGCTCTCAAGGATTACTTCCTACCGGTAAAGGCCTGGGGACCCATTGTTGTTTGGGTCAAGGTGCAAAGACATGCAAGTGCGTAGCTTTTTGTGATGAGCGGAGTTCTGGAGTCAGATGGACCTGCGTGTGGATCCCCACTGGGTCGTTTCCCAGCATGCAGCCTTGGGCGAGTGACCTCCCGTCTCTCGGCCTCAGGTCTCCTATCTGTAAATCTGTAACATTACCTGTCTCAAGGGATTGCTGCCCGACAGGAAGGAAGTGCCCAGAAACCCTATCTTTTACTACACTACCGACTTGTTCGGATCACCCTTCTTCCATTGACCAAGGGGAAAACTCAAGCCGAGGAAGGAGAATGGCTGCATGACCAAGGTCACACGGTCTGTACAGTTGGTGGCTTGGACGTGTTTGGGACCTGTCCCAGCCCCTCCTCTGGGAGGGGGCCCACGCCAGGGCTGGAACGAGAAGGGGCAGGAGCAGTGGTGACCTGAGTCCTTATGCGGGTCGCAGGCCTTGGGAACAGGAGGACAGGAGGGAGGCATTGGATACAAGTTCCAGATGGCTCCCTGTGCCCTAAGTGATGCCTGCTGACCCTTGGCTATCTTGCTGTCCACCTCCTGCTTTTGCTGCGCACTCACTCCGCCCGGAGTGCTCTTCCCAGCCAAGCTGCCTTGGGCCGCCCGGCCCCTGTCTCTGTCATAAGACTGTGATGGCCGGGAGGCTCCTGCCTCTCCGTCTCCCTGGGGCAGAGCGTTCCTCAAGGAACGATGATGGAGTAGAATGAACATGGGCATCTCAGAGCTGGTCTGGC